CTGAGCCTTAGGAGGCATCCAAGATTCAGAAAACAAACATTTCCTGAGAAGCTTTTGCTGACATCCCGTGCCCTATCTCAAACTAGACCTAGATGACCTTCTGCTAAGCTTTCATAACCTCTGCTCTCCTGTGCAAAGCACTTCCCCGTGAAATGAACTCAGGGCATAGTCTCATCCCTTCAGCTTTTCACCCTCTGCCAGCAGTTCCTATCATGTATTCAGTACCTGCTGAACACAGTAATTCATTATTGTTATTCCTAACATTTCAACTCTCTGCCCTCCCATCCCCAGATCTTTAAAGGACAGCGTCCTGAGCTTAGAAGAAAGCAAAGGCCATCAAGCCTCACTTACTACAAATCTCACATCCTCATCCCAGAGCCACTGGCATTCCACCAACCTTTGCACGGACAGTCAGGAGCAGGAAGCCCACTGCCTCTCAAGGCATTCGATTTTCTGGCAGGTGAAACTGTTTAAGCTGGGTCAAAATCTGTCACTGCTGTGAAAAGGGCAGAGCCAAGGATAGTTCTTTTTTTAAATTTTATCTCACCAGATAATTCCCACTAAGGTGACATCCAATCTACCCTTCAATGGTTCCAAAGCTTAAATCTATACACTAATGTCACCAGCACAGCCAGGCAGGTTCTTTTGCTTAGTGGCTAAAGGGACAGCCAAGGAGACAGGCGCAGAAGTATGGCTCTACCTCGCCAGCTCTGCAACACTGAGCAAGTTACTCAGCCTCTGCAAACTATGGTTTTCTCTTATGCCAAATGAAGATAAATTGTTACCTTACTTCACAGGACTGTTATAAGGATTAACCTATAAACCATGTTAGCAAAGGATCAGTGTCAGAAACATGCCTGGAACTAGCTCTCAGCAAAAATCAAGATTCTGTGGCTTTTGTGTTAGCTAGACAGACGTCAAGGATAATGAAACCAAGAGATCTGAACATCAGTACACTCCTTTGGAATTTCTCTCTCTGGGACAGGTTTTCTGGAATTGTGGCCTCTGGCAATGTGACCAAAAGATGTTTTCCCTTAACAACAACCTGAAAACATCCGGAGGCACACCTGTGCACATCCTTGCAGTCGTGGGGGTAGGGGGATTATCCTTGCTGGCCCCACCAAGTGTGGGTAGATTTGGATTACAATAACTGGACAAAAGAGGGAGGATGAATTTTTTGGAAGATAGTACAAGAGGATTCCTAGGCAGACAAAATGACTGAGTGGTCATTAAATATTACATATAATTACCTCATTCAGTAGTTTCCAGTTTAGGATCCAAACCAGGTTTCCACAAAAAGAACTTAGGTGGCCAATAAGGAGTTATTAATCTGGTATCCTGACAACTTAAAACTTTCCTGAAGTCATATTTAACAAAAGAATATACTTATACCAAAGAAGTTAGGAGGATATAATTCCAGAATAAAAGACAACCATTAATTCAAACTTTGTTTTATGAAAGAAGGCTACATTCTTTATAACTCCTCATTTTGTTTAAGGGCTGGCAAAAGTATCACCCAGGTCTGATGCCCAGACTTCGATGGAATTTGGGAACCACTGGCTCATGTCAGTCTTCTCCCAGCCCACAAGCAGCCTAGAGCCCTCTCTGGGCCCTAGATGATCAAGGCACACCATACCTCCAGCATGTCTCCATTTCCACAGAACCTGGCACTCGGGGGATGCTCATAATTTACTGAAAAAAGATGTGAGCACAGTCTGGCATGTCTACACAAAATTCATGTTCTATTTTCAAAAAATATTGGAAGACTTTACATAAATATAAATGCAGTCATTAAAAGACCAAGATTCATATAAGATGGGAGAAGTGGTAGAGCATTTGACTGCATATACGATGGGAGAATGAAGAGAAAAGATACCTTTTTTCTTTTTTTGAGGCAGAGTTTAAGCAATGCAGTCTGGCCTTGAATTCATTACATAGCCCAGGCTGTTTCCCAAGTGCTGGGATTACAGGGGTGCACTACCACACCCAGCAGAGAAAGGATACTTTGACAGAGTACTTTATTTCAATTATATACTCAAATATAATTCTCTTGAGATGTTTGAAATGCAAGAAGGCTTCCTCTTCTAAATCTAGGAATTGCTCTCTCTGTGTGTATGTGTATGGCAAAGGTAGAGTTTAAGCAGGTGGTCTGAGCGATGCTTTCACTCAGTCATTCACTCAGTAAGTATCTTAGGGCCTATCACATTTCAGGTACTATGTTAGATACCAGGATCACAAAGTTGAATTAAAGGACTTTCATGAACCAGAAAAGTTAAAAATCACTAGCATACACCACAATCTAAATTAAATTACTGGTCATTTTCTTCAATTTTCCTTACTTAATGAAAGATGAGGATCATTTAAAATTTAGCTTTGTTAAATTCTAACAGATCACACAGTGACCACATACAAATAAACAATTGATTTTGTGTTCCAATTTTCATCTGCTTATTGAATTAAAAGTTCAAACTTCGGGCAACTGAAGTAGGATATCCTTGGAAGCGAGGCATTACGCCAAAGCATAGCATGCAATACTATATCTCTGAACAATTACTGCTTGTTCTGTGTGCCTGGGTACAGCCACAGGTGACTTGGCCAAGTTTTCTCGTGATTCCTAACTGCAGCGAAGACCAGAACTACATTACTCAATCCCTCTTGGTAAAAGTGGCCTAGGTCTTTATTGTGGTGCTGGGGATCAAACCCGGGGCTATAATCCCAGTCACTGTAGTCTGGGTCTTTAGCTCACTAACACTTCAATTACTTCCCACTTGTCTCCCAGATTTCATGGGTAGAGTAAGAGGCTTTAGAGTAGGAAGGGGCAACAGAGGGTCTAGTGGTAGTCACAATGTGACAGGGGAGGTCAAACAGGAAGTCAAGTTAACAGCGGGAGAGCCAGACTGAACACGACCAGGGAAGTATAGGAAGGCCAGAGGAGAAGGTAATAACAGAGTAAGTCAGGAAGGGGGCAAAACACGCTATAATTCAAATCAGCTCAGTGTTCTGTAAAGACAAGTCAGGAACAAACAGAATGTTGAGTGACAGAACCATGATGTACACATGCACACATCTTATCTATAAAGCTAACGAAGGTCAGAAAGCTCTTTAATGGGTAACTAAGAGATCCAGATTTACCTGCTACTGGTTATTTCTAGTACAAGCAAATCACTTCAAATCAGGAACTGGGTTTAAAATCTGCCCCAGGAAACTCTGACTTTAGAGGAATGGTAAGTTTTTAGCATTTTTTTTTGGTTTTTCTCTGGTACCGGGAACCGAACTCACGACCTTGCGCTTGCCAGGCAGGCGCTTCTGCCGCTGAGCTAAATCCCCAGCCCCATTTTTAGCATTTTTAAAGAGGTAACCCTTTACCAAGAAAATTCTTCAAGCATTGATAATTAGTAACACTTTCCAGAAACATCTTTTAAATTTAAAAGCTAGTGGTAAAATATCAAAAACTAGTATCTGTAGCTAAGGCAGGGTTGTTTATGAGCATCAAAGCAGTGTCAGGAGGAGGGAACAAATGCTTAAGCAGCAGGCTTTTAAAAAGTAAAGAAAGCCACAGTCCAGCAGCTCATAGGCACTAATATTCCCACTGCTGTCTTTAAAATGCATGGAGTAACTACAACAGTGCACACATGGGGAGCAAGGGCTACTTAGTAATTTCATTGTCCACCCTGAGGAAAACTACAAAGGATTAATTAATATACACTATTTGGATGAAAAGTATTAACCTGATCAAGGGTAAACATTTCTATCTTAATTTCCATAATAAAGTTTTTTTTAAAAACTTGTGCTAGCTATCTAACCCTAACTAAAGATGTCCCTATTAAAATTTTTTTAACATGTCCCTATTAAAATTTTTTAAAATAATTGTTTATGTTTCTAAATTTGTTGTTGCTACCTTTAAAATTCTAGTTATTTCACTAAATTTAGCTTTAAGAAATTACTAATATTTTAAAATGCTGATGGAAGCCACGTAAACTTGTACTTGATTACATTTCAGCTTTAAAATAGGCTATCCAACACAGCTACTACCCCACAATCATATTAAACAATGACTTTTCCTAATTATTGCACAACTGTTACACATTTCAAAATACAAATCAAACGATATTTTTTGTATGCTCTAAAAGGAAACGTCTGTCTACCAGCAATCCTCACTTCTCTATCTCTGAGGTTCTCTAAGGTAAATTTATTTGTTTGTTTTGAGACAGGATCTCACTATGTAGCCCAGGATGGCCTTGAACTTGCTGTGATCTTCTTGCCTCAACCTCGTGAGTGCTGGGATTACAGGTGCACACCACCATACCCCGCAGGTAAATTTTATTCTAATGAACAGTGATTAGCAACCTGGAAGAACTTTTGTGTCCCCAAAGGTCTGTGCATGTATAAGCACAAAAAGATGTGGGAATGCCTGGAGATTTTTGGGGTGGGGCAACTAAGTTTTAGGGAACGCAGTACGACTGGCAACTAACAGGTAGGAGAAGGGGATACCGTTAAACTTAGGACAGCCCCTCACAACATGGAATTATCCAACCCAAAGTGTCAATAGTGCCCCTGCTGGGAAAACCCCGTTGTGAACTGAAACAAGCAAGTTTGCAAATACAGCTGACACACTCAAACTGCCAGCTAGGTAATTCAAAGTTCACTAAGCCTTGTGATTAGTAGAGACTCAGATACAACAAAAGCTGCTATTCATACTATCAAAAGTACATTAAAAGGTACTTTCACTACTAAAGCAATTAATGATATACTTCAAAAAGAACATTTCAGGAAAAAAAAAAAAGGAAAATGAACCAGTGATATTCCTGACAGTTTTCTATGATGTTTTAAACTTCGGGGATAAATACTCTAACCAACTCCTTCCTCTCGGTCATTAGATTCTTAACTGGAGAAAGTTTGAAGCAAACGAAAGAGAAAACCTGAGTGCGTGATACTAGTGGGTAAAATAACCTTAGACAGAAGTATACTACTGAGGTACCTAACATAACTTCCATGATTACCTGGCAAAAGGACTGGCTCCAGTTTTTTAATCTTCGGTTCCGAATTGATCTTATCGTCAGTCTGAAATACATGAACAAATCACATGAACACCCAGATTCCCCCCGCTCCTCCTAAGATACTCAGTTATAACACGCAGAACCCACACCTGTCTCCCTCCCTGAAACTTTCGTGTTCTAACCGCGTCCTAGCCGAGTTCTTCCCAAGATCTTTCCTGATCGATCTGGGAGCCCGACAACAGCAGCACTCGAGCCGTCTGCGCCGCTTCCCAGCGCTCCGGGGGGCGGCGGACAGGTTACCTCCTCCGCCCGACGCCCGACGCCCGCAAGCGCGGCGCTCTCGCCGGCGGTCGCGCGGGGACCGCCGCCCCGCTTGGAACTCAGGGCAGTGAGCTCAGCGCCCGACGCTTTCCTGGGGCTCGTCGCGCCGCAAGCCCAGGACGAGGCTGCTTGGGGCAGGAACGGCTGCGGCGGAGTTTTACAAGTTCGCACGGCGCGAGCGGGGCTCCGAGGGGGCGCGCTCCTCCGCGCGGGGCTGCGGACCCCGGCTCCGGGCTCCGGCCGGGGGCTCCCCGGAACGCCCG